TTTTTTTTTTTTTTTCATAAAACTTGCCTACTGTTGTTTAATTGTTGTAAAGTTGGAAAGCGCTCCCTCTAGTGGTGAATAACCACACATCTACAAGAGCTGCAAACACAAACAGCACAGAGGTGTGTTAGACGGACTCTGCTGCTCGGCCATCTCAGAGTGTGACCGTGTCGTTGTTCCTGGTGTGTAGGGACTGAGTGGCTGGAGAGCTGCTGAGCAGGCCCGGTCCAGGTACACACACCCTGAACTTCCCCTGGGTTGGGATCATGCTCTGTTTGTGGTGTATCTTTTTTTTTGGGACAGCGCACAGATGGCTGACATAAAGATGCCAGACTGTTAAAGATGGCATCTTTATAAGCCGAACAATCACGTCGAGCTCCAAAACATCTGTGCACGTCTCCGGGTTTCTGTCTTCTGGGTGTTTGTTTGCTCAAAGAGCCTCAGGGGAGGATTTCACCAAGACTTTGTCAACCTGTTTAACGTGTAGGAGTCGTGTTCAGTTTGTTTACAGGTTAGTCAAAAGGAGCTAAAAACACAATAAAGAATTTAATTCATAGACCCTAATGCTAAATTTATCTCTATTCCTTCCTCAAACCTGAGGTTTATCAGTGAGGATCTGGTTAAAAGAGGTTGTGATTGCAGATTGTGGCCATACCGATTTTTTTCCTAAAAAAATTAGTTGGCAGCAGTTGGGTGACGATTGTTGACTGAACATGTTCAGACGTGACCTGATGGGCGGGTCTGTCAGTCAGCCCTCTGTCACTGCAGACAAAAAGGAGACTGGCTGATTTTTCAGACGTTTGGTGAGATAGATGAGGTCAGTGGATCAGATCGGCTTCAAACTGTAAGTATCTGTCAGTCGTCTATCTCCTACAATGAAGGGAATCAGAGGTGATTTATGGACCGATTTATTGCTGTACCCCCTGCGGCATATAGAGGCTCAAGGTCCTGATTATAATCCAGAATCATTTCTAAATTACAATATGTTCTGGACTACAAGTCACCGTTTCTTTAACAGTTTAGCTGGTCAGGTGACCTACATTTAGACTCAACTTGTATACATATATTTTCCTCTTCATGAAACATTTTCTGACTGACGCAACGTATCCTCTAGAGTTACTGATGATCTGGAAAATAGAGTAATCTGGCAATTTAACCAGTGTTCCATGTTTTTAGCCTCAGGCTTCACATAAAGTCTTTGTGAAAAGGTTTCCTCCCTGCTGCTATGGCAGAGTCTGAGCTTCTTCAGAGACTCCTCTGGGGATTCAGCTGGTGTTTTGGTGCAGGGTGTGTGTGTGTGTGTGTGTGTGTGTCAGTGTATTACTGTTATAATGATTTTCCATTTATAGGTAATAAGAACATGGCATTAAAATTAGAATATTACATCAGATCAATAAAAAAATATTTTTAAAAATATGTTGTAGCCTTGATCAAAACCTGTTTTTCAGATGTTATTTTCAAAAGGTAATTTTAATCTGACCAACAAACTTTATAAAAGTTTTCTTCTAAGTTTCTAATGCAAAATATCTTAGTACATTTGAAAATATCAAAACTAACTTACTAATAACTTTTCAGCAAGATATAAGAGCTTGTTTTAAGTGATTAGTTCCTTAATATTGATTAGTATTAGTTCCATTGGCAGATTATTTGACTGTTATTTAACTTATAATGTGGGGAAAATGTCTTGTTATAAGTTAAATAATTTTCCAGTGGAACTGATACTTTTTCCATCAGGAATTATTGACTTAAAACATGCTCCTATATCTTGTTGAAAAGTTAGAAATCTGGAACAAACTTCCAGAAAACTGCAAAACTGTTGAAACACTGAGTTCCTTTAAACCAAAGCTAAGAACCCAGCTGTTCAGAGTTGTCTTTAATTCATAATAGCTTTGACTATTGATTGATCTATTTGCTCGATGACTTTGATGATGGCGTTTGACAAAAAGTTCCTGTTTGTCGCTTGTGTCACAGCTGCTTACTGGATGATTGTTGCTGAATTGTGCTAAACAAATGAACTTGACTTTGTTTTTGTCTCCTCAGCCAAAGCTGCTGCTCAGCCCTGAGCCACAGGACCAGCAGAGGAGACTCAATTATACAGAAGAAGGTGCCGTGTAGAAGGAGCTCCACATTTTTCATCAAATTAACTTATTCAGTCATTAAAGCAATATTTTTAAATATAATTTTAATACACATTTTTGAAGGTGTTTTTTTTTAATCACAGATTTTTTTGCGTTTTTATTGCTTCTGCACTTACATTGCACATTTTATGGTGAATCATAAAATGACTGAACTTCCTTTTTTTTGCGTTTGTTCTGGATTTTCAAGATAAAAGTCAGAATGGACACGCTCGGATTGCAGTGGGGATGTTGAGATGCTTTGCTTTATTTTTTAGATTTTTTTCCCTCAATTCTGTCATAAAACTGTCAGAATGTCAAATAATTTAAACACATCAGAAAAACATAATGTCAGGCTACTTAAAATAAATATTTAGATAAATTGTTTCTGTTTTGTTGTAATGTGGTTTTATTTTTGAGTGTTTTCAGGTTACGCCACTTCAGAAGAGTCGACTTCTATCTTCTGCTTCAGCGTTTCTACACAGTCAGAACATGTTTTGTTTCCATACTTTCTCATATTCCATTATCTGAAATTTGTCTATCCAGAGTTTTTGCAGGTTCCATATTTAAACTCTGTTGACTATTGACAGCATCTGGGCTAAATTCTTTGGCAACTTTTGTTTGTATTTTTTTTAAGAATTAGTTGAAAACAATTCAAATTTGGAAATTGAGTGAAGAAAAATAACAGCAGTTTTATTGGAAAATTACAACATGTTTAGACCGAAATGTTAAATTGTTGACCCCTTTAAAACTTTCTCCAATTTTCAGAGCCGTTTTGTTTTTAATCATTTTTGGTACTAACGGCCTATATTCAGTTCAGACCATAAATAAATTCCTAACAGCTTTAATTATGCTGAAGAATTATTTTCAGATAACAGAAACACAACCTTATTGATTCAAGCAGACATTGTCTGAACAGTGAAACCCTAGAGGTATTGCTGAATTAACCGGCGAGATTGCATCCTTAAAGCTCATCACACCAACTGTTTTTAATAGATCACATATAAAATCAAAATTAGATTATCTTAAATACATATTGCATGTGTTTGTGTTCAAAAACACCCAACAGCTTCCTGTTACAGCAGCTGCTTTAAAATGATCAAACGTCTCCAAATAACGGAAAACTACTAAAGTCATATCTACACAAATCACATTTAATGGCAAATAATCTTCTTTCGTCCAGCACATTTCAAGGCAGACAACAGGACAGTTAAAATGTTCAAGTGAAATAAAAACAGGTTCATTTGCCAGTCATAGCATTATCTTACACTACAACATCAAAAAAAAAAAAAGAACATTTTTGAAGCCTTAAGACTAGATTCTTTCAGCACATGCACACCAGGATGCATCCCATCAGACGGTACAAATGAGAATTGAGCAATGTCCTAAAGTGAAACGAAAAGCATCAAACTGTCCCGATGTGAGAATAAAAAAGCTAGCTCCTCTCCCCTCCTACAATGATTTTACGAAGACCATTTTGTAGTTTTGTTTCCGTTCCTTGGACTGGTCGTCTGAGCCGGGATCCTCCTGATCTGGTGATTTCTCCTCTGGGCTGGAATCTTCCTCCTGAGCTTCTGTGTTTTGGTTTTCACTGGACGACTCCTCTGGTTTAGCAGCTTCTGTCTGAGAGTCTGCAGGTGGGGAGATGACCGGCTCTGGCTGTGGCTGACCAGAGAAAAACAAAGCTCTTTCAGGGTTCCCACTGGTAGAAAGAAATTCCATGACCTTCAATATAATTTTCCATGACCCACGTAGAAGAGGTTCATAAAGTAAAGTGCAGGCCTGACCAACCTAATCCCACCAAGGTAAACTACAGCGAACATGTAAAAGTGCAGGAAGATAAGGAGGAACATAAATGACAAAAATGTGAAAATGAAGCCCACACAGACAGGTATGAACTGGAAAATGTCAATATATTGACTAAGGAATCATATGATGATAATGTCAATACACAAACAAAAACATTAGCAGTAATGAAAACACAAGATTGTACATGTATGTAGAACTAAGTGTTTCTACAAAAGTTGAGAGCAGGTGTAGCACATAGACCACATTGACGTAACAGTCAATGTAAATTGATATTACTTCATGTTTTTTGTGTTATTTACTTGCTGTGGGGTTAGATCAGAAAGATTTGATAATTTTGGTCATAAAAATAGGGAGTATATTATTCCTCACCAGTCACAGTTTGACATAGTTGCCAATAGGGGTCAGTATCGCTCCACCAACGATAAAGATGACGTTGCTAGGAGATAAACGTTGCCAACATGGATGTGTATAACCACTGTGTAGCAATACTTTTGATTGCTACACAGTGTAATGTCAGTGTTATGCAACACTAAACCTATATAACACCTGGTCATACACGACTATTTATCAACATGTATATTATATCTTCCTGGACAATGTCAGCCATGACTAGCCCCCACCTCGCTGAAACCCAGACCACAGTGCCTCCGGTCCCGACCCGACAGTTTTCCGTCCATGCTCTGCTGGTACTGCATCTCCAGCTCGTCATTCATCCGCTTATCTTCCTGCCCTACGGAGGAGACGCACACCGGATCGCTACAGATCGGATCCAAGCAGGGATCAATCAAACAGGAAGTCGTTGCACTTTGCCGAAGCAACAAAGAAGCTCACCGCTACGGAAGTGGGATGTGGACTTGTGGTCACCGATGACGAGGCGACCGGTGTGTGCTTTCTGGGAAAAAAAAAGAAGCAAAATACAACTAATCATTTTATTTTACCTGTCTGCTTTAACTTTATCTGACTGACACAAGCTGGAGCATACGGACCTTAGAGGCGCCCATTAACCGTAGGAACTTTTGCTTCCTTTCGTCGCTTCCCAGATCTGCAGACGCCCACTGGGTGGACCCGTCCTGCCAAGAGAAGATGGTTCACCAACGTTCATTTTCAGCTTCTAAAGGTCAACTAAGGTTCAATCAGGAATCAGGGAGTTTTGTGCGTCTTTGTCAAAAAATAAATAAATAAAAATTGCCATTTTTGTTGTCAACTTTGATCGTAAGTACTCTTTAGCCACAGCTTTTCATTTGAGAACCAACGACTAAAACGTTCAGTCGTGACCTGGTATGTATGTGGTGTAAAGTTAAAGTCAAACTTTAATAATAATTTGAGGTTTTTTCATAAGAAAAAAACTTGTCACCATGTCATTTATAAATGTCAGTTTCACACAGATAAATATTTAGTTTGAAGGCAAACCTTTTTGTTTTAAGCTAAAAAGAAATTAGCAAGTTAAATATTTAATTTGATGCCAAATATTTAGCTTCAAACTAAATATTTACCTTGCTAACTGTTAGCAAGCTAGATATTTAACTTACCAACTAAATAGTTCCAAGTTAAACATTTAGCTTAAATATTAAATTTGAAACTGACATTTATGAATGAATGACTAACATGGTGAAAAAGTAACTGTAAAACATGTTTTCTTCTTTGATGGCTGGCTAAGCAACCCAAATTATTGCTGTTAATTTTTGACTGCAACTTTACAATGGCACCCCATAGGTATCATATCAAAGAAATTGTAATATCAGACAATTATGACTCAGAGTAAATATAAAAGTAAATATAAAATCTAAAAATCTAAATATAAAAATTAAGTCGTGATTTAATTTACTAAAACGGAAAAAAAAGCATCCAAACCAACTTCCCCTAAAGCTAGCAACTGGTCATGCCATCCTTGGCGTAACAACCTCCAACATGCGTTTGCAATAACTGTCTTCTATACCACTGTGGAGGACTTTGATTTGCAATACTTTTATTTATTTAAAACACATTGGAGAATTTTCCATCTGGCCTTTGACCAGACAAATGTCTCCAAAACCTGGAGATGAATTCATGGTTGAACACCACCATGGTTGGTTGTCGGTATGCGATTCTTTCTCTAACATGCTGTTAGTTTTTCACCAGCTGCAGCAGGAAACACCTTTCTAAGAGTTTGGCTTTTGTCTGGTCAGTCCACGTAATGTCTCTAGAGTCAAGATGTTTCCGCTCCATTTGGTCAGCAGGAGTTTTGGTCTTTGAACTCAACCACTAAGGCCATTTTTGTCCAGTCTCTTTCTCTCTGATGAATCACAACCACTGAGTTTAACTGAGGCATGAATTGCTTTAGATGTTTGGCTCTTTTGTGATATCCTGGATGAGTCAATGCACTCTGCAGTTATTTTGGCAGACCGGCCACTCCTGGGAATGTTCACCTCTGTTTTGTTCTCAATCTACTAAAGTGCATCATACTTTCCAGACTGATGGTCATCAAGGACTTTGGTTCACATCTGTTTTTAAAATTTTACGAAGTGGGGCTTCATGCGTTTCCTTTTGAGCTCTGTCAGCCAACTTCATGCTGCCAGACATGTTCTATCTGAATTCCTGATCGGGCAGCAATCTTGCCTGAGAAACTCAACTTCTTAAATGAATGCAATCACATTCAGTTTCTTATATTATAAATGTTATTATGAAACACGTTAAAAAGCTAAGACAAAACACTTAAAAAAATTGAGAAGAAAGTCCAAATACATTTCCACATTATTTAGCTATATCTAATATAACAGTATTTAGTTACATCTAAATACTGCACCATAGAGCTGACAAAGGTTGAAGATGGTGAGAAAAGGTGAAAAGATTAAACTGATTCGTGAATTCCTCTGAATTACGTCGCATTTATTTTAAATACATACTGAACGTCGTGAGGTCACATTTGAATCAAAAATATTTAGAAATTGGTTGAAAACATCAAAATATAAAATATTTAATGAGCAGTAACACTTTGAACAAACAGTCGCACGTCATGTCCAGACAAAAGATATCATCTACCGACAAAACTTTATCAACTAGGCAGTAAATGGATCTCAACTCCTACACTGTAGACTCTTCAGCTATTTTTATCTTGCAGTGTGATGTTCAAAGTATGCCAAAAGGTTTAAAAATATACAGAAAATTCCAGTGAACTTTATTTTGGGACCGCGGCGTGTTCACGTTTTCACTGTAAAGCTCGTGAGCGCTGATGTTTGCTGCTAGCTTGCTAAGAGGATGCTAGCTATTTAACGTGATTTTATTTCCTATTTTGTAAGTTATAACAGCAGCTTTTTGTGTTTTACTCACTTCCGAGGGAGATGCGGGTCGTTTTGTCCCATGTTTGTCCTCTGGAGAAGTCATTATTCACTGAAATTTAAGTTAAATTGAAAATAGGGATTTTATTCCACACAAACAGGAGCTAGCTGGAGTTGTCAACAATTCGTACTCACCCTGACGACACTTCCTGTGCCGTCTTCTTCTACGTTTTTAAAATAGGTTGCTTTGCTTCCTGGGTAGACGTGTTGCTTCAACATCACAGCTGGAAATTACAGGTAAAACAATTCAACGAGTTTTGGACCACTGCCTTAATAACATAGCCTCTTGTTAAAATGTGAGTAGGAAAAAACATAGAGAGCGGAAATGAACCCTGGACAACCGTGACGAAGACTTTTATAAGAGCGCGTGCTCTTATAATCTGAGAAACCCAGAGAAAATTATATAAAGTTACAATAATTGTAATACAATTCTTACACAGACTGGTTTATTCTTTATCTTGCTGTGTATTTTGCAATTATATTTTTGTATAATTTGTTTGTTTAGTTAACTGTTAACAGTTTGTGAAATAGAATTATTACTGTTCTCTATTTATGAACATTGTTTGTGGCATCCTGTAGGGGTCGGTGCTGGGACCTTTTTTTAATCAAGAACTTAATATGCAACCTGTCCAAAGCAGGTGTTAGACTGCGCGTCACTCTTTCCTTCTTCACTGTTTCACCTTATGAAGGTGCAAAATCAAACCTCTGCTACTATAGAGATGGTCATCCGAGCTAATTAGTACATTAAGTTCAGCAGAACCTTACTGCTACTTTTCTAATTAAATCTTGGTTATTTAGCAAGGGTGTAATTAATTTTTTACAGAAGTTTTCCATTTTGTCTTCATCCTGTTGTTTAATGCAACTTGTGGTTGTTGAATCTGCTGTGCTCTTTACCCTTGAGGTTAGCAGAATAGATAACATTACATTTTTATATCCCGATATGTAAAACCCCAGATATTTAATATAGTTCAATCTCTAAATTGAACTGAAAAGGTTCAGTTTAGTGACTGAAAGGGTACAGTTATGTCCCAAAGTAGCAAAAGGTCTGTACTGTTTGTTAAATTAAAAAAAATAACTAACATTATTATTTTTTTTAAATGTAATTTAAAGGG